TAAAGCGACACGGCACGCGATCCACCAACGTTATCTTGCCATGTCTTCTCAAACTGCTCTTTCACATGTTCATCGCCATCGTGCTTACACATGAAGACGAACGGCAAGGCGCTCGCCGCAAATGCCATGAACCGATCGTTGGACAGTTTGGACGCCGAGTACAGGATCTCGCCGGAGATCACTCGCGGCGTGGCATCCTCGGCTGTTAGATAGAGGTTCTTGGCATAGTCAAACGTCTTGAGAACCCGATCGTCCGAAGCGAGTCGCAGCAGATAGCCCATGGATGAGCAGTAGGAGGCGCTGACGGTGTCGTTTCGGTCCACCACGTACTTAGTGAGGATAAGGATGAATCGATCTGCGTATGGGCGGAAGAGCAAGCTTTTCATGCTAAGCAGCACTAGAACGCGGCTACAGCCCACCTTCGTTGGCAGGCCCACGGCCGACCGAAGCACATCTTCGAGTCTCTGTGACAGTTCGTCAAGATTGCTTTCATCCACGTTGTCAATCAGATACCGCTCAATCACCTCCATCATCGGGGATGTGCGGATGCTAGACAGGCGCATTTTGTCAATTTCTTGACCGGTCAGACCGTATTTGTCCGCATTGAGGTGGACATAGTTGACAGCCTGTGGTTCCAGAGAGCTCAGAGCACTCAGGAACTTCTCCAGCATATTGGGAACATATGGGCGTAGTAAGCTGCCGGGGCTCTTCTTAATTATTGACACAAGAGCACCAATGGCATATCCTTGCACTTCCTCCACGCTGGAATCCAGTCCCTTGTCGCTCAGAAGGAAGGGAATAGCACTTTGGAGTAAAGTACCTGCGCGCTTCTCCGTGCCGCTGGTCTCGAGTGTGCGGATAACCGAATTGGTAATGGTTTGACAGAGCTTCAGCGCAGCAGTGCGGACAGATTCCTTGATATCATCCAGCAGTTTGAAAGCCTTGCTGTAAATCTCATCAAGATACTGGGCGTACTTCTCCGGACGGCGACCTTGAATTAAGTCTGCCACGGCAGCGCAACTTGCTTGCCGAACACGCCATTCTCGACCAGCTAGAATGCTCTTGAGAAGATCCTGCATGATATCATCAAAGTGGGTATCGATGACAACAGTAGGGTCCTTGACTAGTGCTTGCCAGATAGTGTTCATAGACCTTTGCACGTTTGGGTTGGGATCGAACCGGTAACGGAAAAGCTTGGGGTAAATCTTAGGGTTCTTCGCCAGATAGCCATCGACGCTGGAATCAGAAAAGATGCTGCTGATTCCGAAGCGACCAAATGCCGCACGATTTGTCCAAATAGCATTGTTTGAAGCCAGTGACATGAACCGGTAGACCAGAGTGGGGTCTCCCGCCTCAGCGGCCAGGCTCATAATATCCTTGTAAGTGTTGACAGACGACCCTTCACCAGTGGGGAGGGCTCCAGGCTCAAATAGCTGGGTGTCTGCCTCAATCTTGCCACCACCGAGATTGGGACCAGTCGAAGTGAATGACTCGACCAGGTCTTGGACCAAATCGTCTTTCAGGGATTGGTCGCCGATCTCATAAACAAGGCTGAGCCCGTGCGCTCCAGTCTCCTGCACTACCTCGTCCCGGTTTCCAAGGAGGCTGCTGAAAGTAGCTTGGCACTTACGCAGCCGCTCCTGCATCTCCTGCATGTGACCGCAGTTCTTAACTAGCGACAACAGCCAGATTGCAGATGCCTTGCGCAGAGATGGCTTGGGCGCAATGCAATCGGCAATGACCTTGTCACAGATGACTGCAAATACCGAGCGCGGGACGTCTGAGCGAGGGAATTCTGCATCTACGTCGAAATCCTGGATAAGAGCCCGAGAATCCCAACCAACAGCGACATTGCTCAAGGCGTCACCCACGGTGAATTGTACTTCGGGACTGCGGATTTCATGTAGACTGTAGAGTGAACTCAGGAACTCGCCGAACAAGGTATTATCCGGGCCAGGCCGGGAAAAGGTCAGAGTCAACAACCCCAGAGAGCTGATGGGGATTTGATTCTCGGTTTTGGCGTCACGCGATAGCTTTTCCAAAATTTTCTTCCAGCCATCTTCTGTGGTAATATCAAGATGCAACACGCCCGAAAGACTTAGCTGTCCAATGGCCTCTTGTGCAGTCCTTTGGAGCAGAGTATCACGGGAAACATCTAAAATATCGAAGAGAGTCTCAGTAAACTGCTTGATTTGTGCTTCTGGGGCTCGGCTCCCTAGACCGCGGTACGCAAGTCGACTCAACAAATACGAGAGCGCCAGAATTGCACCACGGGCTCGCATGACCTCTTGACCAACAGCAGTATTCCACGATTGGATGGTAGCAGTTAGTTGGGTAATGAAACTCTTTAGTTGCTCCTCCGAGAAGGCAGGATGCGAAACCAGAATTCCAAATGCCCGTGCAGTAATACCCTGGTTATCCTGGTTGTTGCTGCAAATAGGCTCCATCAAGGATGACGCACGCGAGATCAAGTGTTGAACAACGTCATTGGGTGCTAGCGAGCAGATTTCCACGAAATGAATACCACATTGCCGCAGGCCTTCGCGCTCGCCCGTTACAAGACCTTCGAGGGTGCCAGACAAAAATGCCAAAACGGACTCCTTTGCAGACTCTCGAATGTAGTTTCTCACGGCTGAACGGGCCTCCACGCTAGTGGAGAGAAGCACTTCCAGCTTATAGTCCCAATCTTGTTCTAGATCTGCAGCAACTCCCGAGGCTGAGAACGCCTCCCAGAGCAATGTATTTCGGAGGAATGAGATGGCAGGCATAAATGAACCTTTGTAGGGGCCAGAAAGGAGTTGCGACGCGGACAAAGCCTGAACATTCAAGTGTTCCTCTTGGCCCCCTGAGCCAAGCAGGAAGCGAGTAGCCTCATCGAACTTTGGGAAGTCGAACCAGGATTCGTCTTGAACTGGAGCTGCCGATGAAGCTGACCATTTCCCATCCTTGGCAGGATTAAGGAGTCGGTACCAGTAAGGATGAAGACCTTTCCTTCCTTCTTCAACGATTTCTTGTTGCCTTTCTGGACCTCTTGCAATGGCCATCAAATCAATCCAACGGGCGACCACATCACCAAACGGCAAGAATCGGTTCGCAAAGCGCACTGCGGCATACTGAACACCTCGCACAGCACGGAAACCGGTGTCAGGTTCAATATCGCCAGGCTGCATGCTCATCAGACGAACCAAGAATGGCCGCAATTGGTCCTGGAAGGTCTTGTCGTGGCTGTCCAATGAAGAGTTGAGAATACTCCCTAGTGCCTGATCGATGCTGACGAATATCTGAGAACTCGAGTCATCCGCACTCAAGGAAGCAAAGAGCCATCGGACCAGGTCGAATTCGAAGTTCTCTACAGCACCGGCTTGCAACGTAAAGTCGACCTTAGGAACCATGATACCAATACTCTCGTAGGCAAGACCTCGCAAGTTGAGGTCTGTTGTGGGTAGTTTCTGCCCGCTAGCTGCCGGACTGGGCCATCCTTGGGACTGAATGAAATCCCTCAGCCCTGCAATAATTATGGGCGCGATTTTCTTGAGATCAGACGGTGCGCCCATACGGACCACCCAAGTAGTAAACGTAAAAATCTGGGTCCTCAGTTTCGACGCTTGTAACCCCTGAGAGGATCTAGCAGAGTCTGATAGGAGCCCATCTTCAATGAGCCTCAATATTCGCTGGGGGTCAGCCGTAGCTTTGATGGACTTCCCCAGAAAGACGAGAAGCTTGACTTGGAGCGGAGGCCGCGCGGGAGGAGCACCACCAGCGCCGAAATACAAATCATACAACTCCTGCACAACATCAGGATTCTCAATATCCACAGCAAATCGCTTCAGAGTCTCATCTCCAAGATCAGCAAGGCGGGAGTTGGCATCGGCAGAAGCGATTAGTGAAGGCAGGAATCGTTGTGGATCTTCAAAGGCACCGCTTCCGATGAAGCGAAGAGCGGTGACTTTTGTCTCGGTTAAATTCAAACCACCATCGGTAGAAGGGTTCCATGTCTCGTTTGCGGGAGCACCCTTGTTCAAGAAGTTATACTCGTCTGGGGATAGACCGGGACATGTTGAAGTTTCCTTGGGGCCAGGGGTAAGAAGTAACAATTTCGCCAGCCAAAAGGACAAGAATTGGGAATCTTCATCTGAGAGACCGAGTCGGGCTTTCAGGCGCTGATCTTCTTCGCTGCCCTTCGATGGCAGCTTAAGAAGTGGCAATAGACGCAAAACCAGATTAAATACGATAGCACCCTGAGTGGGTGACGTCCCGATCTTCGAGATACCCTGGAGCAAGGGCAATAGGATTTCGACTCTGGCTTCGGAGCCGAGGCGATCAATACCTTGCTGAGCATAGATGAGATCAAAATGTCTGATCAATTGTGATTTTTGCTCCTTGAACTGCTTCAACAATGCTGCCACAGGCAGCTGAATAGAGGGGGCTTTGACTCGGGTGTTGACATGCTGACAGACCGAGATGATTTTGTTGCGCACCTCCACGCTATCTGACCCAAGCTTCAGCAACAAGGGAGGCAGATATGTTCCAAGCAGTGACTGCAGCTTCTCATCTGTATCTGCCATGGCAATTCTAAATTCCACCTTGCCTATCAGACTCAACTCGCGAGCCTCAGGACTCTGTGAGTCCGCCATGATAAAAGTGTTGTAGAAGGGTGATTCCAACAAGGCATCAAATTGACACGATAGAAAAAACACCAAGACGATCAGATTTATAAATCAATCAATGATATAGGCAACCGCACTCACGTCATGTCCATTCAAGTGAACAGTATGGGGGGCACCTGGCGCTCCATTGATTAGTCATGATTTGATTAGTCATTTTCCTTGGCAGCCGCTCGGGCATCTATATCTGGCAGGTGCGATACTAAACGAAGTCAACATGAATGAGTCAACAATAAATTCATGTAGCTACATACGTATATAAGAGAAGAAAAAGAGGGACTAGATAAGCAGGTGAATATTAAGTCTATATGGCAACAAAACCTAGTATGTTCTAAATCAAAGTGGGAGTCTGTCTCTCAAATCCTCCATTCTTTGATCAGCAGCTTCGCCTCTCAAGAACCGACCAATCTCCCTTTCTGCCTCAGCCGAAGTACTACAGTCATCCTTCCGCTTGACATTGCCAAACAGACATTGCCAAAGGTCATCCTTCTTCACCATCTCACCCACGTCGCCGCGTTGCATCAGGTTTGCGAGAGTGGCATCTTCTAGTTCCATCGAGTTTGCAGATTCAATAGCCGCTTCAGTAACATTATCGCCATCAGCAGGAGATGTCAAGAGTGCTGTTTTGACTTGCTTCTCTTTCTCCATGATGTGGGCCAGGCGTCGGGTTACTGAGATCTCATAGATGGATTCTTCCACCGTGCCGGAGATAAGGTACATCCATACTGTTGTTGGTCTATTTTGGCCAATGCGATGCACTCGAGCAATTGCCTGGAGCTCGATGGCAGTGTTGATGAGTGGCTCGCATAAAAAGACATGGGTTGCAACGGTCAAATTCAGTCCGGATGATTGTGCTTTGCCATGCAAACAAAAGCACTCAATCTAGATTATAAATAGTCAGCGTACTGCGTCCAATGAGGGATGGCCGAGGTTGCTTACAGCCGGGTCTGATTTGAATTTCTCAATGCCACCCGGAGAGTCAATACTGGTGCTGACTATTCCAGAGCTTTGGAATACGCTTTGTAACCTCGACAAGAAATTCCCGTATTGAGAGAAAATGACCGATTTTGCGCCAGGGTCGTGTTCCCGCAGCCATAGGATGTGTTGAGCTAAAGTGTCCATCTTTGTCCCGTAAGATTCCTCCAACTCAATTTTCTTGATCTCATTGAGATGGCCGGAGCTGATGTCACTGTAGATCGCATTCTCGGAATGACCCTCATGGTCTAATTCGACAAATGTCTTTTCCTCTTGTACAACTAGCTCCTGTGGCTTGTAGGTGATCTGATGGAGATCATTACGCACCAATTTCCTCTTGCACATCGGGCAATTTTTGTGTTGAGCCCACCATAGTCGCAAGCAGATAGTACAGTATTTGTGACCGCACACAGTCAACACACCTGCACCAAAAGGTCAGTCTGCGTGTGAATTTAAATCCAGACAATACTCACCAACTTCGAAGGTCGATTGGCAGATAATGCATTCTCGAACATTACTGTCAGAGCTAGCATCATCTCTTAGGTGAAGGAGATATCTTGCTTTAGACTTGAGAGAAGCAATATTTGCTTCGATAATACCCTCTTGCTCCAACATCAGGGTAAAAGAAGATTCATCTAGCGGCTTGCCTGCACTTTCCTCATCGTATGGGGCCACCGTATCTGAAATCTGCTGCATGTGACGATAATACTCCAGTCGATTGTTCATGGTATCGCGGAAAGTTGCAATTTCTCTACTCATTTTGACCGATACTTTCAGTTGCTCAGCGATCATTTGACCGGCGTTTTTCAGAACCATTTCGACGATCTTATGTTCAGCACGAGCACGCGAATTGCCCGAAGTGGCTTGCCACTCCAGCGATGTTATAAGTTTGCGAAGCTCACTGACAATACCGCGGAGCGATCCAAGATCAGGATCAGGCATAAGCTGACTGCGAGTTTCCATGATCTTCAGAAATAGTTGCGGAGAGGGCCCCTCACCTCGTTGGGCCTGGACGATTCCGGCTTTGGTTTCGTGGGAAATGAGAGTATTCTTTTGACCAGTGAGAGCGTCATGACGGTCGCTGTACATTGACCTCAAAGCCTCCATGTAGACGTACATCTCATCTTGATGTCTTGTTGACCGCTCATACTCATCACCCTCTAGCTTTGCATCTTCTTCCTGGTCAATAAGCGCCTGAGAGACCAGTCCGACCATGACATCTCGCCATTTCTTGTATTGCTCAGCATGCTTGTTAAGAGCGTCACAAAGATCTTCAAATTTGGTGAGCAGATTGTATGACTCGATTCCTTTGCTGTAGAGATGGGGAACCATTTTCGGGATGATCACAAATTTCTTGTCTCGTGCCTTAATCTTGATTTCTTTCATGTAGCGCTCGACTTTCCGGGAGATATCAGTCAACATCTCTTTCCGAATGGCTTTTGCAGCCTCATAGGACTCATCTTCAAGTTTCTCAAGCGCTCTAAACTCATCCGAATCTGGCTGTGTTAAATTTGTATCGCTCTTGATTTGGTAATATGCGTTCGCAGTGAAGAACACTGCAATATGCTGGACCTCGAGTGCAGCTCGAAGCTTCAGTCGACACTGACCGAGGCGGCTGTTCTTGTCTGCCTCTTCGTCCTCTTCGTCCTCATCCTCATCCTGAATATCCTGGTCTTTGTCGTCGGCAGCGCCTTTGGTCTTCACTAGGCGCAGTTGCTCTCTGCTGTCTTCAACTAGCCGAGTGGCATAGTTCAATACTTCCTGCCAAATGACGAGGGCTTCTTGGCGGCGTTTTGCATTTTCTAGAAGCTGGCCTCGTCGAAGCTGAGATAACAGGAGCGATCGTTCTTCCGTACGTATAGCTGCCTCGTTGGCCTCAGTCATGGCTTCCAGAACGTGAGCCACAGTTCGCAAAGAGCCGGAGCCTAACATTCGATGTTGAGGCAGAAAAACGTCAGGATAGAGGCACGATTGGCGGAGTCTTGTTAGCCAGGTACGCATTTTTTCGACAACTACAGGGTCTTCGGGGTCCCAATTGCCTCCAAGGGGGGCTCCCGAGGCGTCCAAACCGCATTCTTCACACATTTTCTCAAAAAGCTGACCGTACCTCTGTTCTTCTACAGCTGGAAATGGAGTAGTGATCACAATGCGCTTTTGAGGTGGTAGGCGAATCTCATCCAATAGCTGACCTTTGCTATGCCGAAGAGCGATTGTGTTGATGATTTTTGCCAAGACTGGCCCGAAAAACAGACACAACCGTTTCCACAAAGGGGCGGAGAAGCAGAAAGGCTCATAATGAAGAAAGATTAAGAGACCAAACAGGTCGTCTATGTCTCTGCGCAGTGGGGTACCAGTCACAACCCAAGCATTCTCTCGAGGGATCAAGCGAGCTACTTTCGCTGCATTGCTGACTCCACTCTCAATCATCTGAGCCTCATCCAGACATACACGCCACCATGAGAGGCGAATGAGGGGTGTCCTCCTCTGTTCAAATCGCTTTTCGTGCCGTAGAGCTCGCTGTGGAGCTTCATTCGCATAGTAAATTTCTTTCGCGATGACATTGTAGGTGGTCAGAACAACATCGGACTTGGCAAGCTCTTTGACCATCATATCGTCAGTTGCTTCTCTCCAATGCTTGATGCCAGTGTAATGATGAACACGAAGAGTGGGAGCATGATCTTTCAACTCTTGTTTCCATTGTTCAAGAATCGCGGGTGGTGTGATGATCAAAGTGGCACCAATATGTTTCAACCCGCCGGGATCAGCTTCGACATGTTCTTCTCGCTTATTCAGACTTATCAACGCAATCACTTCGACTGTTTTGCCCAGCCCCATTTCCTCTGCCAGTATTCCGCCTTTCAGATTATCTGCGGCATCGCGCCACTCGGAAAGATCCGTTGTCAGAACCATGAAAAGATGACTGAAGTAGTAGACCTGTCCATCGGCATCTCTTGTGGAATTGAAAGACACTGGCAGGTCACTTTTTGGACGTTCTCTAACGGGAATTATTTCACCGTTTGGCCCGACTTCTCTTCCTTCTCTTTGTAAAAGCCAGCGAACAGCTCTTCTCTGGAATGGGAATAGCTTGCATTTCAAATCAGGGCATATGATATTAGTCGAACTTTCCGTAGCCTTGGGAACGTGAACATTCTTGTAGAATTCTCGGGGAGACCATTTTTGGACGGTTCCGAGCATTTCATCGCGTGATTTGCGCAGGTCTGTCAACACAGACGGGCGAACACATTTTTCCTGCAGCACATATCTTGTAAAGGCTTCCAGGTCTGCTTTCCCCAAGCGGTTCAAACCCGGTGCTTTAATAGAATCCCTCCAAAGAACAACCGTTTCGAGAGTAAAGCTTGCTCCATCTGGTAAGGCACGTAGGTGCGCCTGGTAGCAGGAAGTAGGTACATCTTTGAAGAACTGATCCACGTGAGCAAGTTTGCTGGCGGCCTGAAGTTCCCTGAGGAGATCAAATAGCCTCAAATCCTTGCACGGATATAATAGCAATTTTTCTTCATCGAGACTAGATAGTTCCAGCTCCATATAATTGGGACCGCCATCGGCCGACTCTGGCTGTGGCGTAGTGTCCAGATCTTCATCGAGAAACTGAACGCTTCGAACATTTATGAGTATTGGAACGCGGGAGGTGGAGAAATTTGGGGCATGAGGCCTTTTGTATTCGTGCCTGCTGGGTTTCTGCAGAGGGTAACGGATTAGTTGTTTTGCTTCAGAGCGGGATGTGGCAAACTACTATGCAGATTGTCAACCGTGCTAATGGAATGTAGCCCAGAGGTACTCCTGTCATTGACACCCCATTTTCTTGTGTCAGACTCCTTGGGCCGCCCCGCTTGGTCGTCTTGCGCCGCTTGGTGGGACGGTCATCGCATTGCTGGAAGAGGGGGTATAGAGACTCGAGAGTCGCGTCTAGAATAACAATATGTCAGTGCTTTGATTTCGTCAAGACAACCAGGAAACATGATTGATACCTGGTAGTGTGATATCTTCTGCAACGACACTCATTTTGAAGACACAGCCTATCCTGTCGCCACAATGAAGCGTTGACAAGAAGAGAGAACTTTACATATGTATCGGATAATGCCTGGCACTTGAGACCTTTCCCCTTCCATTTTAGTGCTCACCTCTTGCCGCTTTTTGATCACTGAGTAAAACTGAGCACGTCTCTGAGTATCCCGACTTGATCACGAGCCATTACATAATCAACTGATCTGCTCACTGAGCATCACCTGATCATCCCGTGAGCACCCTGATCCACTCACTGGTCATCATCTGAGCACTGTGATTTGATCACTGAGTGCTCACCGACCGACAGCTGGTCGAATGTAACATTCGACCAGCTGTAAGCCCAGTGCTCACTGAGTGTTGTCGCGCCGGCGACCTAAGCCTTCCTCAGTCGGACACTTGCACCTGCCTCATTCCTCGAGGAAAGAGCACCCGGTACACCTGGCCACAACAGCTCCCACCCCGTAAGTACTAACACTCTTACAAAACACCACTTCTACAGAGCACCGCTGACAGAAACATGAGCGATCCAGACGCAGACCGCGCCGCTATGCCGCGGCCACCATCCCCCGTGAGAGACCGCCAGCGCCGCGAGCCCCGCTCGCCCAAAACTCCCCAAACCCCTACTAGGGCGATTTCATTGCCAGCATCGGAGTCGTCAAGATCCGCTTCACAAGCCTGGAGTCACAGTTCTGGCGTACTCTCGGTCGCCACTAAACTGGAGCTCATTCGAATTTCAGGAAAAAACTGTTGGGCCTGCACCACGGCCGACCCCCAAGCCTGCCATGTGTTGGGAAAAAGAGACACCCAAGTGAGTGTCGCTGGCACTAACTACTCGAGTAGTATGTGGCTAAAAATTACTGTGTAGGACAACCTCTGGGCCCACTTGGGCCTTATCAACTATTCCCTCAGGTCATTATCAAACGCGATTCTGCTCTGTGCCTCGTGTCATGGACAATTTGATAGAGATAATGACCCGGGTTTCCTTCTTGTTCCGACTGACTTGGATTTCTTTATCGAATTTGAGAAAGCCGACAGAATCCGAAGACAGGCGGGTAGATGGCCTCCCGGCCGACAAATGCCAACAAGTGGCATGTACAAAGAATACCTCGAGAGCTCGGGCAAGGGGGATGCGGGGTATACCCCAATGTTTCTGAAACATTACCTACTTGCAGGGTCTGGAGTGACCCCTGAAATGCTCCGATTGACAGCACCCAAGTACTGGCAAGGGGCACCGGCCGCAGCACTGCGGCGCTGCATCATGGCCCTCGGGAGTGGCAGAATCGTGGCTCTCGGCCACCAAGTTACACAACTTGAGACGCTGAGAAATCTTTATTTCTCTCCCATTGAAGGAGCGTCGGCAATCAATGTCCATAGTTGCGATCTGGAGCCCCAGCTAGACCCTCCACAGTTCCAAGATCAACCGGCCCAAAACCCTGATTTGGAAGAACCCAAATCCGAACCAGACTCCGAAGACCAAGACTCTGACCCCGAGTCCGACCATGATACATACGGGCCCCACTCAAAAGAGCCGGATTTCAATCCAAACAGACAGCATGATAACCGGAAGCGGCAGGGAAAGGGTAGGAACCAGCAGGGCTCTAGGAAACAGGCGAAGCATGCACCAGGTGCGACCAGACATGCTACCGGGGAGAATTGGGCCTTAGGCCCCAGCGCAACAACGCAGGATGCCATATTGCGCTATTCTCCAATCTTCGCCCGCGGATAGAGCCATCCGCCTCCCTCCTCCCTCCCAATGTCATCCGCCTCTCACTGCCATCCGCCTCCCAATGTCATCTGCGCACCTAATGTCATCCGCAGCCCACTGTCATCCACCTCCCACTGTCAACCGTCTCCCACTGGTATACGCAGCCCCTGTTATCCATATCACAATGTCATCCGCAGCCCACTGTCATCCTACTCCCACTATTATCTGCAGTCAATGTCATCCGCAGCCCACTGTTATCCGTATCACAATATTATCCGCAGTCTATGTTGTCCGCAGCCCATGTTATCCGCAGCCTATGTTATCCAGACGGATTTCTGACTTGCTTTTTGCTAGTTGATCTCATGGGAATGAGTATGAGCAATGGTCAGGCTTCAAATTGAATTTGTTTCGGGGCAGACTAGTGTCTACCCCGCACTTTTTGCAAGTGGAGAACATGTAACTTAGTAAATTATACTACAGTCTCACAGCAAAAGTTTTAGCAACACTGAAAATCAAAATCAAGGGGACTTTTACCCTTTTGTTCTACTGGAGATTTCTGTTCTCCATGAGTCCCCCTTAGGACACCTGCGTTGTTGTTTAACAGATGTGCCGCCCCAGCCAACCTCC